TGAGCTCTTTTCCTATATGGTGACTCCCAGACGGGGCAGGGAATTGTGTACTGGGGCAATGTGCCAGGTGAGAAGGGGGCAGCCCAGTCTGGCTCTATGTTCCTCCCTCCTGCAAAAGCATTCCTAATTCAGTGCTGTCATCTGCTCTATGGTTTTGGGAGTGGCGTGAATTTACCTTTAGAATACTTATGTTTAGCTATTACTCTGGCAAGCTGACAATTTTTCTGAGAAATTTGAGAGGAGGGAAATGACAATTTGAACTGTTTATATCTCTGCAAAAATGGGGTTTCATGGAACAAAGACAAGGCACTACTCTAGCTTTAGGACATTGCCCCTACAAAACATCAAAAGCCTGCTGCAAACACTGGTGGTGTGAAAGCATCTCCAAGAAAAATCCACACACATACTTTTTAATGAAAAGTACCAGGCAAGCTTAAATATAAGAGTTGCTACCAGCTCCCTCTATAATGGCTAAGATAGTGGTCTCTCTCTGTTTTGTTCAAAGATTTATTTATTATTATTATTCAATGCTTATTTCAGTAATATCTAAGCTACCATGTTCTATAAGCATCAGAAGATGACATTCACTGCTGCAAAGAGCTTACAGTCTTAAAGACAAGATATAATGTCTGAGAAAACTAGGGGGTTGGCATGAGGATGGAATAATAGGATATTCAGTTCTCAATTAGTCAGGAGCTATAATCACAACTCAGCACGTGCCTGACCGATACGAGGTTATAGTTTCCTGCGCACATTACAGAAGAGGTGAGTTTTGAAGAGAAGCTTGAAGGATTTTGACCGGAAGCTTTTCCGATTTGTAAGGGTTCATATGGAAAAGTGCTCAAAGAGGCAGAGAATCAGATGATTGGCAGAGTGAAAGTGGGATCCAACCTTGTCATTTTAGGAAGGATAGGTAGGGCAAGGCTAAATTGTGCTTTTAAGATAAGAACCAAAAATTTGTGTTTGATGCAGTAGAAGAGGGGGAGCCCAGTGTAGGGGCTTTAAGGGTGTATGTGTGTGGAGAGAGACAGAGCAACAAATGAGGAAAATGATCTTAATAGCAGTATTTTGAATAAATTTTTGAGAAAAGAAAAGGATGCAGTGTGGGCAGAGATGGGCAGTGTGAGCTGATCTTGGAAATGTTGTGCAGGAAGAAGCAGCAAGTTTTAGACACAGTTGGGATTTGTTCATTAAAAGAGAGGACTGAGTTACAGGTGAAAATTGAGAGTATGGGTCTGAGTGACAGAGAGGGGAGTGGTGGTGTCCACCAAGATAAGGAAAGGGAGGAGGTGGGGTGGGTTTGTATAGCAAGATCAAGAGTTCAGTTGATAACCAGACATCAGAAGGAGACATCAGAAAGACAATCTGAGATTTTGGTTTTGATAGAGGGAGACCATTTCCAAGTAAAATGTAAACTTGTGAGTCATCCACAAAGATTATATTTAAAGATGTGTTTGCAGAAAAGACAATCCAGAGATAGGATGTAGAAGGAGAAGGGAGGGGATAGAATAATACATATATATCACTAGTCAAATTGTTTTATATTAAATTTACCCAAAATAAATTTCGCCAAGACGACAAAAGCATTTGATAGTATCATCTAACATCAACACACCTTCTATGCACTGTAAAGCACAGTATCAGACTTACAGATTGTAAGCCCACTGGGCTTTTTATACTATGGGTTTGTACAGCACCCAGCACAATGGGTCCCTGATTTTGGTGGTTTCTTTGTATATAAATGTTTGTTAACAGCAGAAACAACAAAAGTCAAAGGCAAATTATAACAGTTTCTGTGTGAATTTACTAAAATAGAAAAGCACCAGGGAGCCTTTTTCTACCCCACCTGCAGCTACATCAGGACTACACTTCAAATAGTCTTTTCTGGGAAATGCAGGAAAGTGTGGGGTCTGATACCAGTGCTAGCTAGAGGAGTGTGTGTAAGTGAGGCCATGGCCCCATCCTTTTACACTGGGCAAAGAACTAGTTACAGTTCTCTAAAATGCAGCAAGTCTCACTACTCACCATGCTCAGCACAGTGTTTAGGAAGCAGTCTGTCTTATGTGATGCCTCTAAGCACTGCTGCTTCAGCACTTCCCCGCCTCTGCAACATAGCTCAGGTGCTTAGGAGTCCCAACCCCATCCATAACAGCAAATAGACTGTGTTAAAGCCCAAACTTAACCATATTACCAACCTCAAAAGAAGCAACTTCAAGGCAATAATGCAACAAACTCTCCTTGAATTTGTCTGTCCCTAGGGACGGGACCTCTTCCGTACTACCCCCTTGATTCCCTCTCTACAAAGATTCATTCCTACCTTCCTTATATCTCTGGTAGAGTTAACAAACTGCACCCACCACACCCTTTCACTTCAACTCAGGGTATGTCTACACTACGAAATTAGGTCGAATTTATAGAAGTCGGTTTTTTAGAAATCGGTTTTATATATTCGAGTGTGTGTGTCCCCACAGAAAATGCTCTAAGTGCATTAACTCGGCGGAGCGCTTCCACAGTACCGAGGCAAGCGTCGACTTCCGGAGCGTTGCACTGTGGGTAGCTATCCCACAGTTCCCGCAGTCTCCGCTGCCCATTGGAATTCTGGGTTGAGATCCCAATGCCTGATGCGGCTAAAACATTGTCGCGGGTGGTTCTGGGTACATATCGTCAGCCCCCCGATCCCTCCCTCCCCCCGTGAAAGCAAGGGCAGACAATCATTTCGCGCCTTTTTTCCTGAGTTACCTGTGCAGACGCCATACCATGGCAAGCATGGAGCCCGCTCAGGGTAACCGTCACCCTATGTCTCCTGGGTGCTGGCAGACGCAGTACGGCATTGCTACACAGTAGCAGCAACCCCTTGCCTTGTGGCAGCAGACGGTACAGTACGACTGGTAGCCGTCATCGTCATGTCTGAGGTGCTCCTGGTCGCCTCTGTGAGGTCGATCAGGAGCGCCTGGGCAGACATGGGCACAGGGACTAAATTTGGAGTGACTTGAGCAGGTCATTCTCTTTAGTCCTGCAGTCAGTCCTATTGAACCGTCTTATGGTGAGCGGGCAGGCGATACGGACTGCTAGCAGTCGTACTGTACCATCTTCTGCCGAGCAGCCATGAGATGTGGATGGCATGCAGTCCTTCTGCACCGTCTGCTGCCAGCCAAAGATGTAAAAGATAGATGGAGTGGGTCAGAACAAGAAATAGACCAGATTTGTTTTGTACTCATTTGCCTCCTCCCCTGTCTAGATCACACTGCAATCACTCACAGAGAAGGTGCAGCGAGGTAAATCTAGCCATGTATCAATCAGAGGCCAGGCTAACCTCCTTGTTCCAATAACAACGATAACTTAGGTGCACCATTTCTTATTGGAACCCTCCGTGCAGTCCTGCCTGAAATACTCCTTGATGTACAGGCACACCCTTTGTTGATTTTAGCTCCCTGAAGCCAACCCTGTAAGCCGTGTCGTCAGTCGCCCCTCCCTCCATCAGAGCAACGGCAGACAATCGTTTCGCGCCTTTTTTCTGTGCGGATGCCATACCAAGGCAAGCATGGAAGCCGCTCAGCTCACTTTGGCAATTAGGAGCACATTAACCACCACACGCATTATCCAGCAGTATATGCAGCACCAGAACATGGCAACGCGATACCGGGCGAGGAGGCGACGTCAGCGCGGTCCCGTGAGTGATCAGGACATGGACACAGATTTCTCTGAAAGCATGGGCCCTGACAATGCATGCATCATGGTGCTAATGGGGCAGGTTCATGCTGTGGAACGCCGATTCTGGGCTCGGGAAACAAGCACAGACTGGTGGGACCGCATAGTGTTGCGGGTCTGGGACGATTCCCAGTGGCTGCGAAACTTTCGCATGCGTAGGGGCACTTTCATGGAACTTTGTGACTTGCTTTCCCCTGCCCTGAAGCGCATGAATACCAAGATGAGAGCAGCCCTCACAGTTGAGAAGCAAGTGGCGATAGCCCTGTGGAAGCTTGCAACGCCAGACAGCTACCGGTCAGTTGGGAATCAATTTGGAGTGGGCAAATCTACTGTGGGGGCTGCTGTGATGCAAGTAGCCCACGCAATCAAAGATCTGCTGATATCAAGGGTAGTGACCCTGGGAAATGTGCAGGTCATAGTGGATGGCTTTGCTGCAATGGGATTCCCTAACTGTGGTGGGGCTATAGACGGAACCCATATCCCTATCTTGGCACCGGAGCACCAAGCCGCTGAGTACATAAACCGCAAGGGGCACTTTTCGATAGTGCTGCAAGCTCTGGTGGATCACAAGGGACGTTTCACCAACATCAACGTGGGATGGCCAGGAAAGGTGCATGATGCTCGCATCTTCAGGAACTCTGGTCTGTTTCAAAAGCTGCAGGAAGGGACTTTATTCCCAGACCAGAAAATAACTGTTGGGGATGTTGAAATGCCTATATGTATCCTTGGGGACCCAGCCTACCCCTTAATGCCATGGCTCATGAAGCCGTACTCAGGCAGCCTGGACAGTAGTCAGGAGCTGTTCAACTACAGGCTGAGCAAGTGCAGAATGGTGGTAGAATGTGCATTTGGACGTTTAAAGGCGCGCTGGCGCAGTTTACTGACTCGCTTAGACCTCAGCGAAACCAATATTCCCACTGTTATTACTGCTTGCTGTGTGCTCCACAATATCTGTGAGAGTAAGGGGGAGACGTTTATGGTGGGGTGGGAGGTTGAGGCAAATCGCCTGGCTGCTGGTTACGCGCAGCCAGACACCAGGGCGGTTAGAAGAGCACAGGAGGGCGCGGTACGCATCAGAGAAGCTTTGAAAACCAGTTTCATGACTGGCCAGGCTACGGTGTGAAAGTTCTGTTTGTTTCTCCTTGATGAAACCCCCCGCCCCTTGGTTCACTACTTCCCTGTAAGCTAACCACCCTCCCCTCCTCCCTTTAATCATTGCTTGCAGAGGCAATAAAGTCATTGCTGCTTCAGTCATGCATTCGTTATTCATTCATCACACAAATAGGGGGATGACTACCAAGGTAGCCCAGGAGGGGTGGTGGAGGAGGGAAGGAAAATGCCACACAGCACTTTAAGCACAGCACTTTAAAAGTTTACAACTTTAAAATTTATTGAATGACAGCCTTCTTTTTTTTGGGCAATCCTCTGTGGTGGAGTGGCTGGTTGGCCGGAGGCCCCCCCACCGCGTTCTTGGGCGTCTGGGTGTGGAGACTATGGAACTTGGGGAGGAGGGCGGTTGGTTACAGAGGGGCAGCAGTGGCAGTCTGTGCTCCAGCTGCCTTTGCTGCAGCTCAACCATACACTGGCGCATACTGGTTTGGTCCTGCAGCAGCCTCAGCATTGAATCCTGCCTCCTCTCATCACGCTGCCGCCACCTTTGAGCTTCAGCCCTCTCTTCAGCCCGCCACTTACTCTCTTCAGCCCGCCACCTCTCCTCCCGGTCATTTTGTGCTTTCCTGCACTCTGACATTATTTGCCTCCACGCATTCGTCTGTGCTCTGTCAGTGTGGGAGGACAGCATGAGCTCGGAGAACATTTCATCGCGAGTGCGTTTTTTTTTTTTCTTTCTAAGCTTCACTAGCCTCTGGGAAGGAGAAGATCCTGTGATCATTGAAACACATGCAGCTGGTGGAGAAAAAAAAAGGGACAGCGGTATTTAAAAAGACACATTTTATAAAACAGTCGCTACAGTCTTTCAGGGTAAACCTTGCTGTTAACATTACATACATAGCACATGTGCTTTCGTTACAAGGTCGCATTTTGCCTCCTCCCACCGCGTGACTACCCCTTCAACCTTCTCCCCTCCCTGTGGCTAACAGCGGGGAACATTTCTGTTTAGCCACAGGCAAACAGCCCAGCAGGAATGGGCTCCTCTGAGTGTCCCCTGAAGAAAAGCACTCTATTTCAACCAGGTGACCATGAATTATATCTCACTCTCCTGAGGATAACACAGAGAGATAAAGAACGGATTTTGGTTGAATGCCAGCAAACATACACTGCAATGCTTTGTTCTACAGTGATTCCCGAGTACGTGTTACTGGCCTGGAGTGGTAAAGTGTCCTACCATGAAGGACGAAATAAGGCTGCCCTCCCCAGAAACCTTTTGCAAAGGCTTTAGGACTACATCTAGGAGAACCGCAAATGCCAGGGCAAAGTAATCCTTTCACATGCTTGCTTTTAAACCATGTATAGCATTTTAAAAGGTACACTCACCAGAGGTCCCTTCTCCGCCTGCTGGGTCCAGAAGGCAGCCTTGGGTGGGTTCGGGGGGTACTGGCTCCAGGTCTAGGGTGAGAAACAGTTCCTGGCTGTCGGGAAAACCGGTTTCTCCACTTGCTTGCTGTGAGCTATCTACAACCTCCTCCTCATCATAATCATCATCTTCGTCCTCAAAACCTACTTCCGTATTGCCTCCATCTCCATTGAAGGAGTCAAACAACACGGCTGGGGTAGTGGTGGCTGAACCCCCTAAAATGGCATGCAGCTCATCATAGAAGCAGCATGTTTGGGGCTCTGACCCAGAGCGGCTGTTCGCCTCTCTGGTTTTCTGGTAGGTTTGCCTCAGCTCCTTCAGTTTCACGCGGCACTGCTTCGGGTCCCTGTTATGGCCTCTGTCCTTCATGCCCTGGGAGATTTTCAGAAAGGTTTTGGCATTTCGAAAACTGGAACGGAGTTCTGATAGCACAGATTCCTCTCCCCAAACAGCGATCAGATCCCGTACCTCCCGTTCGGTCCATGCTGGAGCTCTTTTGCGATTCTGGGACTCCATCATGGTCACCTGTGCTGATGAGCTCTGCATGGTCACCTGCAGCTTGCCACGCTGGCCAAACAGGAAATGAGATTCAAAAGTTCACGGTTCTTTTCCTGTCTACCTGGCCAGTGCATCTGAGTTGAGAGCGCTGTCCAGAGCGGTCAGAATGGAGCACTCTGGGATAGCTCCCGGAGGCCAATACCATCGAATTGTGTCCACAGTACCCCAAATTCGAGCCGGCAACGTCGATTTAAGCGCTAATCCACTTGTCAGGGGTGGAGTAAGGAAATCGATTAAGAGCCCTTTAAGTCGAAATAAAGGGCTTCATTGTGTGGACGGGTGCAGGTTTAAATTGATTTAACGCTGCTAAATTCGACCTAATGTCCTAGTGTAGACCAGGGCTCAGGGTGTGCTCACTTTTGTTTGTTTTTCCTCTGTGCAAACCACTCAGGACTTAAGTTTCAAGTTGCCAGAAGATCCATTCACCTCACTGACAGGAGACTCAATATGCTTGCTACCTATAGCATCCCATGTATTCCATGACCTCAGCCAGGCCACATATTTCCCCAGATGAACAATAGGGTCAAAATTTCTTCATTTTTTTCACAACAAAAAACACAATAGGATGTGCTGATGGCTCCCTCTATATTCTGGGTGTTTGCCATGTATGGCCCCCCATCTGGCATTCCCTAACCTCTTTGTTTTTCTCCACAATAGCTTCTCTGTCTTTTAACTCACACTCCCTCAGATTTAGGATGCATTATAGCCATGGTAATCTTTCCAGTGGCTCCACCTCCAGTTTGTCAACTGCAAATTCTCTGCCAGTTAACAACTTTTTCAGAAGCAGTCATGGCTGTACCATCTCTGTTAACTCTACATAGTGCTCTAACATTTTCAGGTCCATTAGTTGCCCTGTTCACATTTCGAGCTTATGCGGACACAATGCAAATAACGGAAAATGTACCAAAATACACCTGTATTGACAATTAGTTGTGTATATTATCAGAATTACTGAGTGGTCCAATCACTCCTTAATGATGTGCAGCCACAGTCACCTTTTCATTTGATCTGTTACAAGTACATTTCCTTGCCAAAATCAAGGGTTTTTCCAATTTAATTATGAAATTACTTACAAGTCACACTATATATTCTAATCTAATATTAAATGAATATCCCTTTTAAAACTGTATATTTTTCTGATATATAAACTAGACAGCTGTTTCTACGGTTAGATAACCTAACATAAAAGGAAATTTTTGTGTAAGCACAAAGTGAAACCAAACTCACTTAACATCTGTGAATAATTCAAAATAATCAAGCTAATGGAAATTAATCACTACATTGTGGTGAATCTAATGCAAAGCATGTTGTATTACATTTGTTACCAGCTTGGTTTACAGTTCTTAAAAGTAAAACCAACAAAGTTCATCCTTTTTTTTTTTAAGAAATGGAGAACTACGTTAATCAAACTGATTACAACTGATGTTATTTTCAAGGTCTCACAACAGTGACTCTATAAAGCTAGACAAATTCAGAATGGAAATAAGGGACACCTTTAACCATTGAAACAATTAACCAAGGGTCATGGTAGATTTCTCCATCACTGACAAATTTTAAATCAAAATTGGATGTTTTTCTACTCTACAAATTATTTTGGGCAAGTTCTATGGCCTGTGTTGTGAAAGTGGTCAGACTAGATGATCACAATTTCTGGCCTTGGAATCTATAACCAATATCTGCAGCCTTGAAGGAATGAAGTTGAAAGTTATTACTGTCACACACAATGAGAAAACAATTATTCCTACAATGAGTTAATTTTGTGCTCCTATTGTTCTAAGGGATAATACTTAGGTCTAGATTATAACAGCCATAATTCTCTTGCTGCTAGAGAGAGAAGTAATAATCTACTACTGGTCTAGTAGCATATTTCCCACTTTGGGCAGGCTTTCCAGCCATTGATGGGTGGGAGGTGCAGAGCAAAGGTCATTCCCAGCTCATTCCCTACCCAACTGTGTGCAGAGGTTTCTCTCCTCATTGTGCAGGAGCCTGCAATGTACGTAGCCTGCACAGGGGAGTAAGGTGGTGCACCTGCCATGCCCCCTCCCTCCCTTACACCAGTAGGGTATTCCAGCCTGGAGGTGGTAGCGTTACCTTTGCAAGCTTTACAATGGTGGAGATTCCCTATTCATAGGGGGAATTCTCCAGTGCAAAGCTCCAGCCATTTTAAATTCACCTTGCATCATATAATCAGTTGAGTCCTACTAATTATAAAGAGGCCTTTCTTCTATCCTAATCTTTATCAGTCTCCACCCCGATTCCATGTATATATTAAATTCCTGGTCTGCATATATATGTATCTTACATATTCATATGGCCCCATTACCAGAATATCTGAAAGCCTCACAATCTTCTGTGAGGTAGGGAGGTACCTTTTACTGATGGGGAACTGATACACAAAGGGATTAAAAGTGACTTCTCCAAGGATTTGTAGGATGTCTCTGGTGGATCAAGAAATGAAGCCAGTCCCCAACCACTTAACTATCCTTCCTCTTTAAATTTCCTCTATAAACATCACTATTTAAGAGAAACAACTGCCACTGGGAAAAAATTCTTCTTTCTATTTAATGTTTTATGATCAATAACCCCTTGAGGCTGAATATGAAAAACAGCTCTGAGTCAGTTTTCCAGTTTGAGTCATGTTCTTCAATGGTGAAGAAATGTGTCCATTTTTCTCATGATATAAGGCATTCCTTCCACTCAAAATATTTTTTCCAAAATGATTCACTTTCACCATACTGGCACCAGAGGAAGAAACAGATGGTGATGTCCAGGGAAATTATAGCACATGCCCACAGAGAGGGCAGCTGCTGGCAATGAGAAAAGAAACTAAAGCTGTTCACTGCATATGTGCCAACAAAAATCCAGATATATTCTTCTGCCTACACACATCTGGAAGATATCTGTGTTGCATTAGTTTCAGCTCATAAGGATACTGTACGAGATCCTACCAGAATGTTTTTGTAGGGAGTAGACATGTAAGATTTTTAATCTATGAACTTTTAAATAAATAGCATTTATAGAAAATAGAGGAGGTTTATTTTTTGGTTTGGAGTACTATACTTTAGGAGACTATATCTTAATCTGACTTGGTTTCCAAAAGACACTGTCTTTTTGAATACACAGGCAGTGACATAATTGAATGTGATGCTGTATCAATCTGGAAAAGAAAGATTTGTTTCTTTGAAAAAATGTAGCTAAAAAGACATTTCGTTCCTTTACAAGTTTTATATTTTTTTAAATTTAAAAAAATACAAACAAAAGAAGGTGGGAGCATGTAGAGATATGCCCTTTCAGTAGACAGATTTGAAGGAACCTTATTTGACATTACTCTATTGATCATGTGGTTGTCTGCAATTAGTCTGTAGAACTAGCCACAGTTGTAAAGGAGTCATATAAATAGCATGTGGAGTATAAGTATGTGTATATATCCAAAGTATACACAGCATGATATAAACTGATATGCTGCAACAGAAGTACAGAAAAAGAGAACAAACAAAGATTAACTCTAGAACGTGGACTTGCACTCATGCTAAACAGAAAGAACTTTGATGGATGATGCACAACAGGCATAGTTGGAAGAGCATGTTCTGCTTCTTTCTCAGCTCTGTTTTACTGACTCATTATAATTTGCTGCTTTTCCTTTCAGTAGACATGCCAACATTTCCAGCAAATTTTTCATGCAAGAAAAGAACAAAGCCTTCCTTTATTTATGAAAAAGCAGCATACCCTATAACATAATTAAGTATGCTAAAGGAATATTTAAAATATACCACTTTTCATATGTACAAGTAGTAAATGATAAACTGCCTGGTGCTAAATAGAGTTGGCTGGTACCAATAGGAACTTCAGTAGTTTCAGTCAAATAAATAAATATAATTGCCTTGCAATTCTCATATGTTCATCAGGTCATGTGATTTTCATGACATATTGTCACCATCAAAGCCCTGGGAAAAGCTTTCAATTTATGGCACTTCCATATTTTTCTACTCTAATAGTTTTTTTTTTTTTTTTCATATTTGCCATTAGATCCAGGAGAAGCAGATCAGTCTTTCAGATGTCAATGTGAGAGAAAAGAAAATCAGAATTGGATAACTGAAAAAGCAGATTGACAAATCATGGCTATGATCAAACATTTTGTATAAATTCCCTTTGATAACCAAAGATTTCTCACATGCAGAAATAATAAAGCGTTTAGGTCCTTAAAATTCAGTAGATTTAGACTCTTTCTACAGTTTTATTTCACCCTTTCTTTTAACACTCACATGCCCCTTTGCCAAGCTGTAGCAGATGCTGGAGCCTTGCAGATTAGTTTCCCAGTGGAGGAGAACTCAGTAAAATGGATATATTGTAAGTGTAACTTGCTTTATTTACACACATACCAGTCCTGAAACAGAAGTGTAGGCAAACCTTTCTTTCAGGAATCTCAGCCCAACACCAATGTTTGGTTCCCAGGGAGCAGCTCAAGAACCAACTAATCGGAGACCAAGGCAGAGAGCAAACTCTACCGTTTCTTGCTCCCTCTATCAAGCCCTTGTGTAACAAAAATGTAACTGCAGCACAAGCATTGCTTCCAAGACTAAAAACTGGCTTGCACACTAAGAAAAATAACTTGGAAAAACATGTAATACCACCACCTGATGACCCCTACCATAGCAATATATTCACTCAAAATCAGATCTGTCACTGAACACAAAGTTTGCAGAAGCATTCCATACCAAATTTGTAAATCAAATTAAATTTGTAAATCTGTTGCCTTGTTGCATATGTAACTAGTCTTACTGTGCCCAATCCTCAGACCAGCTCCACCCTTTCTGCACTGCTTTGGTAGTGTAAAGGGGACAAAAAGCTGGCTTAAACAATCAGATGGGGATTCCACTTGGAAATGGAAATTGCTAGGAGGGGTAAAGCCAATTTTATTGGCTCTATGCCACCCTCTCTGGCCTCCAGCCCCAGAATAGAGGGCAGGAGAGGGCATGGCTGGAACAAATTACAGCTGCACACTAAGTTATGCTGGGGGGGTCACACAGGTCCCTGGCTGGACCACTGGAAAGGAGGTGTGGCTTGGATAGATCTGAGGATCCACAGCACCATCAGCAATGTGAACTTCAATTTATTTTGGTGAGTGCACTAAAGAACTAAAGTTTTGCAAGTGTTATGTACCAATGTTAAACTACAATAAAAAGTGGAGTAAATTTGTTAATTTTTGAAAAACA